AAAATCGAGAGCAGCATCTTTGACATATTGTCCATCATTGCGAGGAGACTCAAGATCTTTGGGCATGACCTGCACCCCAAGAAGACTAAAGCGTTGCTGCATATTGATGGGCACGCCAAACTGCATATCAAGGCGAAGATTTTCAAGACAAACCCCATCACGCTGCAACGCGAGGAATGCCAGCCTCCGACCAGCACTGATGTCACCACGGCTGAGGTCACGACCCAGGGACTCACATTGGGCAATATTGTGGCAAGTGATGGCGGGGAGGGGCCGAACCTTATGAGACGCATCATCGACCACAGATCCGCAGAGGGTCCATTGAAGAAGTCCATCTTCCGTCTGCCGCACATCGACCTCAAAGCCAAGTTGCTGTATCTCACGGCACTGGCGCAGAGCAAGCTGACCTACGACTGCGAAGTATGGGGACCGCTGACAGTACAGCAGAAACAGATGTTGCAGAGCAGACACATGGCGAGCCTACGGGCCGCCGCACGGCAACAGCGACACGGCGCGGGGCACGTACATACTTTGGACGACGAAATATACTTGATATGTGATGAAGTACCGATCCACATGTACCTGCGCCGACGGCGCCTGATGTACTTGGCCAGAATGGCGCATGCAGACACGCCCTTCCTCCACCGCCTCATCGACGAGCTTTGGGGGGATGATAAAGCCTGGAATGCCCTTATCGTCGAGGATCTGGACTGGATAAGAAGATTCCTACTAGACGACGAGGACATTGGCTGCGACATCAGGGGCTTGGTACGATGGTTACGAACACAGCAAGTGCAAGCCGCACAAGCCATGATCACGCGTGCGTGGCTCAGGTACAAGGCATGGCAGCACGATTTATACCGACATCGAATATGGCAAAGGCAGTTACACCGTCTAGCGCAAGAGTTTGGACTGACCACGCCCAACTTCGATGGATTGCCGCCTGCACAACACAGTGGCTACATATGCTATGAGTGTGGCAAGATCCTAAAAACTCGGGGAGCATGGAAGCGCCATCGCACCATGGAGCACATCGGCTACGACCTCCCCGAATTGCTTGCCCGTTCGACAACCTGCCCTGGGTGTGGGAAGAACTTCATAACGCGATCGCGCATACTCAAGCACCTGAGAAGGTTCCCCAGGTGCCTGGCTGTACTCCAAGCAATTGAAGCCCCAATGGATTTGCAGGAGGCAGCCGAACGCCGAGAAGAGGAACGAGAGGCTGTGGCGACGAGGAAGGCAATGGGGCATGGAGCTACAAAGGCGCTGGTGCCCGCCCAACAGGTCATACACACAAGCTTGCCGACTACATCGAGCAGCATCAGCTCCAGCTCTCGCCGGCGCCGCCTGCAGCAGCGGACCCTCAACCAGCGACGCCACCTGCAAGCGCATTCGCACCGTGCAGGCCCATGGTTACTACGGCTATGTTCTTGCTGCACCTTTTCTCAGGCAGACGCCGAACCGAGGATTTCCAGCACCACTTCGAGATGAACACTCGGGAATGCAATTTGGTAGTATTATCGATCGACGTGCAGATAGACCCCGACAAAGGAGATCTGACGAAGCCAGACGTCGTCGAGTTCTGGTGCGCGGCGATACGACAGGGCAAAATATTTGGCATTGTGGCGGGCCCCCCCTGCGAGACGCGGTGCTCATCGCGCTGGCATGCCGCCGAGGGGAAAGCTCCGCGGCCACTACGTACACACGACTTTCCCTGGGGCATACAAGCAGCCAATCAAGCGGAGCGTCAACAGATAGCACTAGCCAACGAGCTATACAGGACAGCTCTACTACTCATCACCACTGGCTTGCAGTACAACGTATCTGCCGTGCTCGAGCATCCCGCTCCAGCCACCTGGTGCCCTCAAGCGCCTAGCAGCTGGCAGCGAGCAGAGACGCTCTGGCTTTTGGAGCAGACGAGCGTCGAACTGCACTACATAGACCAGTGCCAGTTTGGGCAGGCCGCGCGAAAGCCAACATGCCTGATGGCGGTACACCTCAGTGAACTTACACAGGAGCTGGGGGCGGTACCTGGGGGACAGCTATGCCGACATAACGGACATGACAGAGCTTACGGACGAGACGGCCAAGGCGGCTGGAGGACCGCCCCCCTCAAATAATATCCTTCAAGGCTGTGCAAGGCAATGGCTACCGCATTCGCAGCCCACTGGGGACAGCTTGCTGACGAAGAGGCAATGTGGGCCGAAACGGATGAATGGTATCACAGGTTCTACGCCCCCTTGGACTACTACATCGAGCCAGAGCAGCTGGGCCACGACTGTCACAGGGCATGGGGTAACCAACGGCGCTAGCAGCTGACACTGCAGCGGCACTACGTTTGCCTGCACAGATATTCGAGTTTAATTGTTTCAGGATTACTCATACTTGCCAGTCCCTGGAAGGGACCATCGGTTTGCAGTTTGGCGCAGACTATTGGCATCTTACAGATTGGAGGGCAGTTGGTATTACATAATGGTGTACAGTCGGGTAATATTTCAGAGTGGCAGCAGGCGCGTCAGCATCAGCGCACCTACTGTATGTACTCAAGACCCGCATTGCTACTGGGTTATTGGCACGGCTGCGTCTTGGACAGCGATTGCGTGCCATACTCGAGGGGGGGGGCCCGTAGCGCCCATACGGGTGGGCACGATCCCTCAATGGCGACGGAGCGTGCCCCCCCCTCGAGCACTTTCTGGATTTATTGGTTTTCTTTCAACACTGGCATTTACTTCTATGATTATCCAGCGCCCTGGACAAGGCACTACGGTGCCATGGTTTAAGTCCTGAGGAAGCCCCGAATGCGAGGGAAGACCTCAGGCAGCGTCGCCAAGTTTTGCCCTGGTTAGAACGCAAGTCCTGGGGAGGCCCCGAATGCGAGGGAACGCCCCAGGCACAAGTCGCCACGTTTTGTTGTGTACCCTGGCGGCGACTGGCCACCTACAACTTGGACGGCGCCAGCTGGCTGGCAGCGGGCGGTCCATACGCCGCCGGCGTACTACTGACCGACATCGACAGCATACCCAGCACGACCCCGCACACCTCCTGTCAAGTCAACGCTGTCCTGGTGAGGATCAAACTTCGAGACGGGCTCGAAGGGCGGGGGGGAAGGACGAGTACTTCCCGCGCCCACCAGCGGGGATGGTGAGGGGCAGGGGGGGGGCAGGACGGCCACTACCTGCGCCCCCGCGGTCCGCCCTAGCTCGCCACCCCCACCATTCCCATGGAGAAGGAGGAGCTACCCGAGCGCCCGAGGGCGAAGCACAGGACAGCCGAGACATCCCACTCCGACGATAATAAGTACCAGGCCTGGGGTTCGCCCCCACCGAGGGCACTGTGACCCCTAGCCATAGCGGGACGAGGTGGGACAGCCAAGACCCCCACCTGAAGTCGGTGCACGGAGGCCTTGGAAGCCCACAACCAACGCGACACCAGCAACGATCCGACCCCCAACGACCTGACCAGCACGCTCCACACCCTGCACTCAGCCCTACAAACGACCGCCATCTACAACCTCCGAGATCAGCACCCTCCTGTACTGCAGAGGCGGGGGTGGCATGACTGACGACATCGGATACTACGGCTAGTGAGTACCAGTACGACCAAGACTGGACAGGATCAAGCAGGAGTACCAACCCGTCCAGCGCGGCTAGGACGAGGGATACGTGTTCGAGCACCACAGTGTCAGGCAGCACTGCAGGTTCACCATGGAGTACTCGACGAGAAGGGGCGGCCTGCCCCTCGGCGAGGGATACACAGCGCCAGGCGCCGAAGGGTGTATCCCCGTCGCCCTCGCGTGGCATGCGAGGGGCCGAGGCCAGCCGGCCTTGATCGGCATGATGACGAGAGCAGCCGCTGCAGACCTGCTGGAGCCCAAGAGCGGCTCGGCGGGCCTCCACAGCGCGCTGCGCCGAAGGGTGGAGGCCGCCGCAGCTGGGGGCAGCCAGCCACCCGAAGACCCCACGGCGGCTGGGCTCAGCGCGAGGCGCCGAAGGGAGCCCAGCCGCCACCCACGCGGCCGCCAGCCCACAAAGAGGCCGACGGCCTGGCCGTGCGCCGCGCTGGCTGACGCCCGCTGGCGCGGGCGCGCGCGGCGCCCGCCCGTGGGCCCTGACGGGCCCCCTTTTTTTTTTTTTTTTCTTTTTGCTGAAACCCGGCCCCCCTTCTCCCTCCTCTGAGGTTTAACTTGGTCCCTGGTTCCCTCTGCTTTCCTCGGGGTCGGGTTCCCGGGGCCGCTGTCCGAGTGCCCGCACGGCCCTGGAGGGCCGCTGCGGCGCGCTCCGCGCCCGCGGGGCGCGCGACAAGACGCTGCATAGCGAGAAATGAGAAATGAGGAGGAGGAGGAGGAGGACCAGCGCGAGATTTTGGGATGAGTGCAATTTCGGTCTTCGACTCGAATGATGCTGGGCCTCGTTCGACCACCTGCTCGATCGGGATCCCCCCCACCTGGGAAAGGAGAGCACGGACGGCTGCGCTGTGAGGGCGTAATAACTAGAGGCTGAGAAGGAGAGGGGAGGAGAGGGCGCTGAGGACGAGGGAAGGGAGGAGGAGCATCCACGGCGAGGGCGAGGAGGAGGAAGAGGCGGAGGAGGAGGTGGAGGAGGAGGCGGAGGAGGAGCAGCAGCAGCAGGAGGAGGAGGAGGAGGAGGGCGCGGAGGAGGAGGAGGAGGAGGAGGAGGAGGAGGAGGCGGAGGAGAAGGAGGGGGAGGAGCAGAAGAAGGAGGAGGAGGAGGAAAAGGCGCAGAAGGAACAGGAGGGGGAGGAGGAGCAGCGGAGGAGAATTAGGAGGAAAAAGGAGTACAATGGAGGAGGAGGAGGACGAGGAGGAGTACGAGGGGGAAAAGGAGGGGGAGGAGGAGGAGAGGGGGAGAGAGGGGGGGGGGAACAGCAGGAGGGGGAGGCGGAGAGGCCCCGCCCCCTCCCGTCCCAACCAACCGACCGCGCAGAAGCGGAGCGCTCGGAGGGAGGCGGGGGAGGAGCGGAGGCACCCGCGCCTAGCACAGGCGCACCGCCGGCCGCTTCGCGGAGAGTGCCGCTTCCCGCCCCGCCACGCGCGACGACGCCCGGAGCTCTGGGGTGACGCCGGCCACCGCCGCCGTCGTTTTTGGACGCCCGAAATGGGTACGGAAACAATGGGTACAATGCCGAACAACAAATGTTGTTCAAAAAGGGACGGGAGGAGCTCTCGTGAGGGCCTCGCAGCGGGACTGGTGGAGTTCGCACAGGTTAGGAAGCCGCAGCGTGTGATTACCCTCTAGGATGCTTGTGGAAGGCGATCCCCAGAGGAAGTGAGAGTTTGTGACGATACTGGAAATTCGATCTAGTGTGTCAGGAGCCTCTTGGATGCATATGAAAATATCTCGGAGTGGGTTTGCTGGGCCTCTTGGAGGGCTCTTGGGGGCATCTGGGGGGCTGCTTGGGGGCCACTTGGGAAGTTCTTGGGAGCCACTGGGGGCTCTTGGGACCATCTTTGGGGGAAAGGCTCGACATATCACTTGGTATTCTCCCTCTTTGGCCCCTTTTAGGGCTCTCTTGGGGCTCCCTTGGGCCGTCTTAGGGGGCCGTCTTGGGGCCCCCTGGGGGGGCAGTCTTGGGACTCTCTTGGTCTCTTGGGGGCCTTCTGGGTCGTCTTGGGACCATATCGGAACTTCGGGCCGTCTCGGACGCTTGGAAAAAGGCGAGTACATAAAATGCACGCTTCCCTAAATGATCAGGGCATTTTTTTCCTCGTGGGGCCCGCTCGGCAACTCTCTGGGAACACTCATCGGGCGTTTCGGGGATTTCGTGAGCCGTCTCGAAGGCATCTTGGACCGTCGTAGGGCTTCCCCGGGCCGTCTCGACGCTTCCTTGGACTATTTTCACGCGCTGTTTGGGCTCTCTGGGGCCTTCTTGAAACCTCTGAAGGCCCTGGAGGCCCCAGGGGAGCGTTGGGGAGCCCGTCCACCCCAGCCCCCATCAAACGGGGCTTTCGCCCCCCAGGGAGGGGGACCGGGGGAGGGGGAGCCAGATATTCCACACGCCTTATCCCCCCCCGGCAAGCGGGCGCCGGCGGATCCTGGCAACGTCAGATCTGAGGGTCGTCGGCCGCCGCTGCCGGTCGCCGTCGCCCGAAGATGAACGATATTGTATAATCGGGGGAGCGTAAGACCCGGGTTTGCCGGGACTCGGATTCGCCATCGTTTTTTGACGACCGCGCCTCGGATTTTGACGAGGAGGAGTTTCGTGGGATGTCTGCAGCGGGAGGCCTCGTCAAAATGCAGGCTCGGCCTCGTCATTTTTTTGACGACCTCGTCGGGCCAACCCGAGTCCCCCGTACCCGGGTCTTACGTCTCCCCGAACATAAACTGTTAGAGTTCCGCGCAGGTTTTTTGGATCGGCGCTGCGCCTCCGTGGCGCGCTCCGCGCCGATGCAATCGATCCGAGCTGAGCTCCGAACATCTGTTGTTCCCCTAGCCGCCCCTCCCCAGACATCCAACGTTCTGAGAACAAACAAAAACATGTTTTCCAGATATCCGCCCAGGACGAAAAAACCCGTGCCAGAGAATGGGTCGAGACCTCATGGGATTCCGCATGGAACAAATCAAGACATCGGATCTCTGGGTCCTGAAATGTCTCCTCATCGGGAGCGGATACCATTATTTCCCCCTCCTCCTGCATATTCTTCGCTGCCTCACCTCCTCACCCTCTGCGTCGTCATCCCTGCCCTCCTGACCCTCGTCGTTCCTTCCTCGCCATCCTCGTTATCCCCACATTTCCTGAATTTGTAGCTGTCCTCATATCCTCCTCCTCCTTTCCGTTTTGCCTCCTTCATGCACCTTTTTCTCCCTATAACTCATCCGTATTTCCACTTCCTTTCATCGTCCTGTTTGTTCTTCTCACGTCTGTCATGTCTCATCTCTCCTAACGCTTGTTGTCGGCATCCCTTATTGTTCCTCTTCCTGCCTCCTCCCTCCATCCCTCCCCTCCCTTCCTCGTTCTGGTTCCCGTTTCCCTGCTTGTTCGCCCGTATCATGCCTCCTCCCCCCGTCAATTGTTCTTCCCCCATCTCTTTCTTCTCGGTCGATTCCTTTTGTTACTCTATCTCTCTCCCTCTCCCCCTCTCCCTCCCTCTCCATCCCCTCCTCGGTCCTCCATCTTCAACGATATCATCAGATTGAGGGGGTGGCACGGTCTTTCACTGCCCCTGGGCGCGCGGCTGAAGTTGGGTTCCGCGGTGCGGAGGTGTGTCGCGTCCTTGCGGGGTTGTTTTTTGTTGTTGTGATGATTGGTGTACGTGTTGTTGTCGTTGGTGGTGGCGCTGTTATTGCTGTTGATTGTACTGTCAGTGCTGTTGTTGGTGTTGGTGTTGTTATTGTTAATGCTGTTATGGTTGAGTATGCTGTTGTTGCTGCTGGTGTCGGTGTTGTGGTTGGTGGTGGTGGTGTTGCTGCACTGTTTGATATAGTTGATGCTGTTGTTGGTGGTGTGTTCGTGTTGTTGATGTTATTGTTGGCGTCGTTATCGATGTCGTTGTCGTCGTCGATGTTGATGTTGTCGTTGTGGTGTTTGTTTATTGTTTCTGATGCTTGTGAATTCTCATTTCTAAAGAAGAAGTGTAGTCGATCCCCCCTGCCCGGTAACCATTTGCGTTTCTCTAGCGAAGTGTTTTTTTTCTCGTGGCTCGCACCCTTTTTTCTAACAAGGGAAAGCGAGATGTCACCAAACTGGGATGTTTGGCTCCGAGCTACAGCAACAATGGCTCCCGGCTGATACTTCCTCACAATGTGTTCAAAATCGGGCTCTCGCGCGGGACGTCCTCATAATCTAAGCAGGAATCGCGCTCTGACAACCTCGCAATTTGTTCCAACGCCGCGCCCTCGACACTCAGGAATCACGCTCTCGCTGTGGATTTCCGCACGATGTATTTAGGAATCGCGCTATCTCGAGAGACTGCCCCGCGATTCATGCAGGACTCACACTTCAGCAACCCGCTTGCTCGGCCCGGCCGCCTGGGCCCGCCTTCCCGACCTGTCCGCTAGGATCTGTCCGCCCGATCTGCCCGTCTGGTTATGCCACATGTTTTCTGCTCCAAGCGCACCCCTCCTGCTACTCTCTTTCTCTCTCGTGCTCCATCCTACTCCCTCCCCCTTCCATCCGTCCTCTCTTCCCCTGTTTTCGGGGCTCCTCTAAATGCACGTGGCAATTAAAGAAGATATACCCCCAAGGGGGTTCACTTGAGGAGGAAGAGGGCGGGTACCAAGGGCTTGGGAAAAAGGTGTGGAATGGCACGCGATCAGAAAGAAGCGGCCGGTCTTAAAATGACTGGCGTTGTTGCTGTTGCGATTTGTGTTTGTGTTGTTGTTGGAGTTGTTATTATTGTTGGTGGTGATGGTGGTTGTTGTTGTGTTGTTTGTTATTGTTGATGATGTTTTGTTTGTTGTTGGTGGTGGTGTGGTTGTTGCTGTTATCTTTGATGTGGTTGTTGGTGCTAGTGTTGGTGCTGTCGTTGTTGCTGTTGTTGTTTTGTCGTCGGAATTGTTGTTAGTGGTGTAGTGTTGTTGGTGGTGTCAGTGTTGCTGTTGTTGCTGTTGCTGTTGTCGTCGTCGTCGTTTTGTCGTTGTCGTTGTCGATGTTGGTGGTGCTGCTGACGTTATTTTAGTGATAGTCGTAGTAGCCGTTGTTGGTGTTGAATTTGCATTTCTGAAGAACAAGTATTGCTGATACCCCCCCTCCGGTGCATACTGTTTTTCTCCATCAAAGTGTGCCCCTCGACGCTCGCACCCTGTTTTTTGGCAGGGAAAGTCTTGATGCTCAAACTGTGCCCTTGGCCCCCATGTTACAACAACAACGGCTCCCGCCTGAGACGTCCTCACAATTTAGCCAGGGCCCCCGCTCCCGCCCGAGGCTTCCTCGCATTTTATTCAGGAATCACACTCTCGCTTGGGACCTCCTTACAATTCATTTAGGAATCGCTCTCCCGGCGCTCTGGAGTCGCGCTCTCACTGGAGCTGTACTTGCAATTTACTCTCGAATAGCGACCTTGCGTTGGAATTCCTTGCAATTTATTCAAGCGCCGCGCTCCCGCCCAGGCACCCAGGAGTCGCACTCACGCTTAGGACTCCCTCACAGATTACCTAGGAACTGGGATCTCGCTGCCCTTCGTGGCCCCGTTGCAGCCCTTCGTGGCCCCCTCGCTTTGTTTCGTGGCCCCGTTGCAGCCCCTCGTAGCCTCCTCGCTGCCCTTCGTGGCCCCGTTGCAGCCCTTCGTGGCCCCCTATCGCTTTGTTTCGAGGCACCGTTGCAGCCCTTCGTGGCCCCGTTGCAGCCCTTCGTGGCCCCCTCGCTGCCCTTCGTGGCCCCGTTGCTGCCCTTCGTTGCCCCCTCGCTGCCCTTCGTGGCCCCATATATGTATGCCCTTCGTGGCCCCATATGCATGCCCTTCGTGGCCCCGCTGTCGCCCTTCGTGGTCCCCTCGCTGCCCTTCGTGGCCCCGTTGCTGCCCTCAGTGGCCCCGTCCTTGCCCTCCGCGGCCCAACATGCGTATGCCCTTCGTGGCCCCCGCTCGTTCGCGCCCGTTGTGGCCCCATGTGCATGCCCTTCGTGGCCCGGCTGTCGCGGTTTGTGGCCCCCTCACTGTCCTACGTGGCCCAGTTGCTACCCTCAGTGGCCCGATCGTTACCTTCTGTGGCCCGCATTATCTGCCCTTCGTGGCCCCCGCTCGTTCGCGCTCTTCGTGGCCCCATACGCATTCCATTCGTGTCCCCGCTGTCGCCCTTCGTGGCCTACTTCGTGTCCTTCGTGGCCCTGCTGTCGTTCTCTCTCGCTTTCGCTCGTCATCGTCGTCGCCGTCGTCGTCGTCGCCGTCGTCGTCGACGTCGTCGTCGTCTTGTCGGTCCCCTGTCCGTCCCTTTTGGGGTCGGGTCGACGGTCCGCAGCCGCCCCGCCGATCAGCGCTGCCGCTGGCCAGGCTGACGGTCCGCCGCCGCCCCGCTGCTTGCCGGGGCCCGGCCTGCAGGGAAGAAAAGTATATTTCCCGAAAGGGGTTGGATCGAAGACGAAGAGGGCGGATATCGAGGGTTTGGGAAATACGCGTTATTGGACACTCGAGCAGATAAGGGCGAACAGACTTAAAATGATTGTTGTAATTGTTGTTGTTGGTGTTGTTGTAGTTTGTTGTTGTTGTCGTTGGTGTTGCTGAGTGTATGTTTATTTGTGTTATTGTTGTTGGTGTTGTTGCTGCTTCTGTTGAGAGCGACGGATTCCAGACGCCCCCCAGGGGGATGGCGGGGGGGAAGGGAGAGCGCGTCGCATGGCATTGCGGGGGGGGGGCAGGGGGAGTCGCTGTACCGACGCGACTCCTATGTTATCCCCGGCATGTCTGAAGTGTCCCGATGGATTCCTAGACATTCCGAAGAATTCCGCAAGATTCCGTTGGACTCCTGAGGAGACCTTAACGATTCTTATGAATCCTTCGAAGCCCTCCAGAGTCCATCGGCATTCTTCGGAACCTATAGGAATCCTAAGGAATTTGTCGGGAGTGTCAGGATGTCGCAGGACTCTCCAGGATTCCTCAGGAACCATAAGGAAGCCGAAGGAATTCCTAGGAGTCAACAGGAAAGCTGTCGGAATCCATCGGGATCCCCAGCAGTCTTTCGGAATCCTGAGGAACATCAGAATCTAACGGCATCCTCAGATGCCCTTTGGATCGTGAGGGATCCATCGTAATCCGCAGAAATCCTCAGGAATGCTTTTTGACCCCTATCGGAATCTTCAAGAGTTCCAGGGGATTCTCAGGAACACAGCGGAATCCGAATGAATCCTGAAGAGTCCCCGTGACTCCACAGGAACTCATCGGGGTTCGTAGGCATCCATTTGAACATGCATCCGGAATCGTTCGGATATCTAGGGGAGCCCGAGGAATCCATATGCATTCCGTTGAACCCATTGAGATCACTCGGAATCTTTTCAGGATTACATGCAAACCCTCGGATTACGCAGGAATCCATCGGAATCCAGAAGAATACATCGGAATCCAGAGGAACCCATATGACTCTGTTGGAATCCGTGGCGCTGTCTAGGAAACCCTGGGAATGTTTATGCATCCGCAGGAATCCTTGGGAATCGTTAGGAATCCCGCGGAATCTCCAGGAACATTTGAACATAGTTAGGGATCCTTAGGGTCTGTAGGAATCCATATGAATCTCAGGAATTCATATGCGTCCGTAGGAGCCCAGAGACATCCGCAGGAATCCCAAGGAGTCCTCAGGAAGACATGGGAATACGTAGGGATCCCCAGGCACCTCTGGGGAACATCAGGGATCCCCACGGATCTGTAGGAATCCTTAGGGATCATTGGGGGTCCCTAGGAATTCGTTGAATCCTTAGGACCCCCTTGGAGCACACCAGAATCTTCAGGAAACCACAGGGGCCCAGGCAAGCTCATAGGAACCAGAGGGGATCCATAGGAACACCCAGGAACCCCTAAGAATCATCAGGAACCCATGGGGATCCCTAGGGAATCCCCAGGAATCCTTAGGGATCCCCAGAATACGTTGTAGAAATCCAAAGGAAGCCCCAGGAATCCTGAGGAATCTTGTGGAAGCCATCGGACCCTCAGGATCCCAAGGGTTCCTCGGGTGGCCCCTGGGGCACCGATGGATTCCGGAGGATTCCTGTGGACCTGAGGATTCTTGTCGAGTTCTGGGGATGCGTATGTGTTTCAGGAAACCGAAGGGGTCCTGAGGATTCTTATGGAATCTTGCGGGCTCCTCGGAATTGCAAAACAAGCCTGTGGATTCATGGGGAAGTCCTACGAAGAATTCCCTTGATTCGAATTGATTCCTGAGGGTGCCTTTTGATTTCCAGGATCCCAAGTTCAAGAGAGCCAGAAGATTCCATTATTACCTGGTGATTATTATGGATTCCGTTGGATTCCAGAATATCTTTACCGCGCCCGAATGATTCCCCAGGATTCAAAAAGGATTCCACAGGATCTCGGGGGCTCCCCAATACTCTTAGGAGTCGCTCTCGCTCGAGACATCCTCGCGATTTGCTCAGGAATCGCGCTCTCGCTGTCCATTTACTTGCACGGTGTACAGGCTATCGCTTACACTTCTCGCCCATGACTTTCTCGCACTTTGCTCAGGAGTCGAGTTCTCGCTTGATAGTTCTTCGCGGTGTGTTCAGGAATCGAGCTGTCTTTCTTCAGTGTTGTTTATTTTCCATTCATAGATTTAGTTTTTTTTGTGTTTTTTGTCTCTCCCTCTCTCTCTCTCTCCCCCTCCCTATCTCACTGTTTCCTCGCTCGGGGCGGTGGGGGGGTCATGATGCTATTGGTGATGCGTGTGATGATAGCAGCTGTTGTGATAAGCGTGAGTTGTGGTGATGGTGGTGGTAATTATGATGCTGCTGGAGTTATGGAATGGGGTGATGTTTTTAAGGTTTGCAATGATGGCGGTGATGACTGTGGTGATTACATTATTGATGACGACGGTGATGATGGTGCTGACGGTGCAGTTATTGTTGAGGTTAATTGCGAGAACGGTTATGATGGGGATGATGTTGATGTTGATGTTGTTGACACTGTTGATTGCGAGTACCATGGTAATTACCTCATGGATCTGATGCGTATGATGGCGGTGGTGGCGATGATGATGGGCATGAGGGTGTTGATTGTGGTGGTGCGGTTATTTCTTGTGGCGATGACGACGGCGATGGTGATGTTGTTGGTGATGGTGATGATGGTCATGATGTTGATGATTCTAATGCTTATGCGGGTGATGATGCTGACGATGATTGTGATGTTGCAGCTGTTGATGATGACGATGGTGATGGCGATGGTGATGCTGATGATGGTGGCGACAGCGGTGGCGTTGGCGGCGATGCGGACAACGACGAGGAATGTGTTGATTGTGATGACGGGGATTTGGTGGTGGTGGTGATGAAGGATGTGATGATGGCGATGATGATGGGGATGCTGATATTGATGCTGATGCTGTTGGTGGTGATGATAAGGATTGTGATGCTGCTGCTGGTGCTGATGATGGTGATAATAAAGACGATTGCTGACGCCCTGGTATGTTTGCAGGGTTGGCGGATTCGACGCACGGGTGGTCTCAAATGCAGTCGCGTTGTTGCGTGATGGGCGTTTCGGGAACTAATTCTTACAAGGTTGTGTTAGCGTAGTTTCCAGGTGTGTTTGCGGGGTTGGCGAGTTCGTCGCGCAGGTGGTCTACAATTTATTCGCGCTGCTGCGTGATCTGCGGACTTTGGTTTGGCGGGGGGGGGGGGTACGGGAACCAATTCCTGAAAGGTCGCAGTTCGACACGGGTGGTCTCAAATTCATTCTCGTCGTTGCTCCGCGACCATCCCCGCGACCCCACATTGTTTTGACGAAAAGTCAGCTCCTGCGGCGGGCTCGTTCTGCAATGTAGTAAGAATCGGCGCCTGCGGCGGGCCTCTTCAGAGCCTCCCAGACTGCCGACGACCACGCCGACCCAGTGTAGAACGCACACTAATGTACACATGGCCTTGTTCTCACCTTTGTCACACGGCCTTGATTCCTTTATAAAAAACCTTCTGGGGCACATGACCGTGCTCTCACAACTGCCACGCCCACGATCTGCTAAACAAACAGACTACGGTACACATGTCCGTGGCCCCTATCCCTGTTTCACGGACACGGTTCTCTGCCGAGAAGGCACTACAGTTCACACGGCCGTGCGATCAACCTTGTCACAAGACCACGACCTTTGCAACAACCCTGTCACAAGACAAACGACCTCTTGCAACAAACACGACGGTGCATCTGACCGTGCCCCCACCATTGTCACACGGCCACGATCCACGGTAACAAGGTGCACCGCGGTGCACATGGTCGTGCCCTCGCCCTTGTCACGCGGCCGCGACCCCTCGTAAGAAATACATTAAAGTGCACGCGGCCGTGCTCTCGCCCCTGCCTCGCCTGGGAGCCCGCAGGAACAGAGAGGTTGACACCAACACCAACATCGGCGGTGTGCCTACACCGAGGGAAGAAGATCCCGATCTCGGTCATGGTGGTGATATTGTGGCTTCCAAGATGACCCAAATATTGCCACCAACACCGGCATCTAGGGTCATCCTCCCCTTGTGGAGGCAAACCCCTGTGTTGGTGTTGGTGCCCATTTCCAGGCCTCCAACATTGCTCGACCTGCCCTTCTCCTCCACTGCTGTTGGGGTGGTTTGCTGGGGCAGCTCTTTCGGTCGCCAATGCCCCCAGGAGCGCCGCGGCTTCGCACCACCGGCTGTTCGGGCTGGAGGGCATGCGGCCCAGCACGCGCGACGAGAGGAGGCCGCGGCGGCTTTTCGGAGGATGGGAGGGGAGGAGGCTCAGGACGAGGAGGAGGAAGGAGGAGGTGGAACCACGATCGACGAACAGATTCAGGTCGTTGCCCACCCTTCCTTTTCTCGAGAAAATCATGGCGGGAGGTCTTTTGGTTATTTCCTGCCTCTGGGAGCCCTCACCAGGCCCCAGGACGGTCAAGCGATCGTCGGGATGAAAAGGCGGTCCCAGAGCATGGGTCCAGTCCTCTCCTCTGGGGGTCATCGTTGTGAACAAACGACTTCGGAGGCTTGGTCACATTGAGCATATCCATGCCCTCGCGGTCTGGACTCCGAGGCGCGATCCTATGGATACGCAGTCTCGTGGGTACGATAGGGGAGGAAGAGTCACGATCGACGACCCCGTCCATACCATGTCCAAGTCCTATGTATGTTTTTGAGGTTGGGACATCAGCTAGGAGGAGGGAAAAAAACAAACACGAATAGTCGCCGATTCCTTTTCAAATGTGGAAAGTATGGGAAATGAAGGGGAAGACGAAACTGCAGGAAAGATGTCTAAATGTGGTGACTATTAGGATTTGTGTGCATTCATTTGTGTGTCCCTGTGCCCCCTCAAACAGCGGCAACGCGAGGGGAGGATAGGTTCACGGGGGGACGCGTCGACACCGAATCGTTCAGTGATTGCCGATAGGAGCCCAATAGCCCACCCCGCCCAGGAGCGCTCGGTCTCGCTATCGGAGAGCAGGGCCGTTCCATCCGCGTTGCATCGCCGATTCCAGCTCGATGTCCCCCCATGAAATCGTCCCACACTCTGCCCCCCCTCACGTTCCCCTTCAGAGTGGAAGAGGCGGAGGGAGAGAGGGACGGCCGGGGTGAGAGGGAGAGGGAGTGAGGGGAAAGGAAGGGAAGAAGCGAGAAGAGATGTGAGGATTGTTGGGCTAGCTGGGCGGATGTGGTGCCATAACTTCTTCAGCGAGTCCTGGATACGATGCTACATAGTGCCACGCATGGGCAACCTGTACTAGGACCTCTATGTTCGCGAAGTGCCAAACTGGCTGGCCGCCAGAGTGCAGCGGCGGGCATGGATCGACCTACGTGGACCGATCTTGCTGCGGGCGCGCGACGGTCAGAACCCCACGAACACGGAATATGGCTGGGGGGAACACAAACACGGATGGCAAGACTATGCCCGTTAGAAATTGCCGCGTTCGGGCAATTATTGCGTGACTTGGCACCAGGTGGATATCGACGTAACGTTGTGTCAACAGGGAATGCCCTTATCCATTCGTGCATGGGGCTAGTTGCCGCAATGTGGTCATCGGTTTTTACTGCTACCCATGGGCTTACGATAGCAAATGACTTACGGTGTGCCGTACGCTGGCGGCTAGGTATTGCAAGCTCGTTTGACGGACCATATTCACATGGACATGTTAGATTGGCGGATGGATTTGGAGGACTATTGCATACACGACATAGAGAAATGTAGGCTGTGTGGCGACATTTCTCCAAGAGGCCGGAGGAAGCGTGCCCGACAACATTCGAAGGGGGCGAGTGGTAAAAAATGTAGACGCGTCGCGTACCCCCACCAGCCCATCCAGAAACGATGTCCAGGCGAGTTGAGAGGTGATCAGGGAAGTGCGGGAGCAAAGAGGGGGACGGCCGAACCGTGTGAAGGAGAGAGGGGGCGAAGGAGAACATTGGATGGATGGATGAGGGAGTAGGGAGAAGGATGATACATAGAATGAGGAGGAGGAGGCGGAGGGGGAGGAGGAGGATGAGAAGGGATAGGAGGAAGGAGGAGGAGGAGAGCAAGCAAAGGGCCAGAGGTCTCTTGGATGCTTCTCGGAGCCGCTTGGGGTATCTCTTGGGCGTCTTGGGACATTTTGGTGGTCTCTTGGCGGTCGTGGGGGGCTCGTCGGCGTCTTGGGGCCGCTTGGGATCCTTCTGGGGGCCTCCTGGGGCCTCTTGGGGGCCTCTTGGGGCCATATTGAGGCCATCTTGGGACCTCTTGGGGCCTCCTGGACGCTTCTTGGGGCCATCTTGGAGGAGATCGATCAAACAAGAGGGGGGTCAGAATTAGCGTCCCCCCCCAAGAGGCCAAAATGGGGCCAACACCTTAATAAAACCAATGAATTTGGCTTCCTCGCCGAGGCCGTTGTGGACGCTCCGACACCTCGCGGAACCCCTTGTCCATGTCCAGGGGAGGGGGTAGGGAGATGGGTAAGCCCTCCCCGAAGGGGAAGATGGAGGGGTGGAAGAGGAAACTCTCTAAACCACCGACGCCCAGAGTGCTGGTGGGACGGTGGGACTAATGTTCCCGCACCGCCACATGATGTTCCTGATATTGTTCCTAGTGGTTCCAGGGCTATACATAGATCGTGGTCTGCCGCCTTTTGTCAACGCCACCATCCTCAGTCCTATCATACGAACAGGACAGCCACGGCCAGGCCCACGCAAGAGATGTGTAATATTGCTTTCTCGGGCAGAGCACGAGGACAACACAATATACCACGAAGCCCCCCAGTCTGTCATAATTCCCCTTGCTGCTTAGGTGCAGGTTTTTTAGCGAAGGGTGGGGCGGGGGCAAAGCGCTCGCTTCGTCAAAGAAGTGGTTGGTGAACGCCCCAAATGAATACACACCACGATCCGGAAGGACGCGAACGTGAATTTGCAACACAGATGGCGGGGGTTGGGGGGTAGCCTGCATTCTGCCGTGGCACGGGCACCGCTGCGACAAGAAACTTGTCTCCCCGCTGTGCAGCTGGAGCCCACTCCGGTAGTAGCATATATTGCATGCGTCTAGCCTCCCACTTCCTCTTCCTCCTCCTCCTCCTCCTTCTCTTCCTCCTCCTCTTTCCGTGGCCGTTTTGGCTCAAGAGCATCGTGGCGCGGCATGCCCCCGTCCACACATGGATACTGCTAGTCCGCGGCAGTCAGAGAGCTTGCTCTCGGCATCCTTTTCGTGAGCTCCTGCAGGGACTGCACTCGCGGCCATGTCGCATGGTTGCGATGGCTACATGGTGGTGGCGCTTGTGGGCACAGGGAGTGGAGTAACAGTTTCTGGAAGCAGAAGGGCTACTGCAGGTGCGGCAGCTGGGTCGGCCTGCCTGGCCGCAAGCAGCAGCAGCCGTCGTCCGCGCCGCCTTGGTGGTCGTCGCAGGCGCAGGTGGTCTCGAGCATCCAGAAGTTGGTCGGCAACGACCAGGCGCTGGGCCAGGCCGTGGAGGCTGCGTTCCAGCAACACTTCGCCAGCCGCCCTCCCCCGCCGCCATCTTTTGCCCAGGCCCCGTCGCTGGCGGCAGCACATCGGCTCCAGGCAGCCACCTTCGCGCAGGAGCAGGTGGGCAATAATGTCGAGCGTTGATGCTGGGAGCTGGCGACGGCGAAACACAGGGGCCAGGAGGTGCAGGCGCGCTTCGACGCCCTCGCGGCGGAGCATCTCCAGGCGACGATGGAGCACGAGGCGGCGGTCGCGGCTGCGGCGGGCAAAGACGGCTCGTCCACGCGCGCGCTGCCCGAGCGCCTCGCCTTCAACCTGGGCGCGCCCCTCTTCGCCAACATGGGCGACGCCGACAAGGACTACACGGCTGCTGCGGAGGCGCTCCAGTCCGCCGGGCGCGCGCGGTTGCAGGAGCAGGAGAAGGCGTGGAACGCCCTCGCGGAGCGGGCCGAGCTGCGCGAAGAGGGCGCGGTTGGATGAGGAGGCCAAGTCCCTTCAGGCCCAGGCGGAGGTCACTCGCATCCAGAGCGTGGAGGCAACGCGGCTCTCCCGCGCGCAGCAGGTCCCCCCGGCCAGCGCGATGCTCAGGCAGACCGCCAAGAAGAGGAGGTCGACCGAAGGCGCGGCGGTGGGCGGAGATGCCGAGGCAGCGTCTGTAGGCGCGGCGGCTGCGGCGGCCGCCAGCCCGGGCGCGGCCGAGTCGCCTGCGCCGGGCGCCCCCGTGGCCCCCGAGGCCGACGGCGCGGGCGCCGACGCGGGCGTGGATTCCAGGGGGGCCGACGGTCCCGCGTCGGAGGCGCCCGTGCCCGAGCCGCCCCCTGAGCACAAGGCCCAGCACTTCGCGCGCATCGAGTCCGCGCGGGAGAAGGCCGCCGAGGACCGCGCTGAGCAGCTCGCGGCCAAGTCCGGCGCCATGGCTGACGCCGCTGCCAGTCCTGCTAGGCCCGCTGATGCCCCCAAGGGCGGCAGCAAGATCAAGTCGAAGTCGTGCGCTTGACTTGCACGCGGCGCAGGCCCCGGGGGAGGCGGCGTTGGACTCGGAGCCGCAGACGCAGGAGATGAAGGCCCGAGGACCTCCCCGTCTCGGGCCCAAGGGGCCCTCCGCGTTCTCTGCCAACGTGGAGCGCCAGGGGCCCCTGTCCGATGGGTACTCGGGGGGTCATTTTGACGATTGCGGTGTGATGGCAGCTGTTGAGACTCCTCTCAACGAGGTGAAGCACGTGGGCGCAGAGCGGAATTTGTCACGTTGGGGCTGGCGCGCGCCTGGCGCAGCTGCTGGGGGCTCGGCGAAGTCGAGCACGAGCGCGTGAGGGGGGGGCGTATCGCGGCCAGGTGCGATATGGCGACCTCCTCGTTCAGTCACTTGGCAGCTGCCGCCCAGGGGGCCTCCCAGAGGCGAGGCTCGACAGGTTCGCGCCGCTGACGCTGCATCTCAGGCGAGGCAATCTTGCGGTCGCGACGGCGCATTCTTCCTTCGTGGCGGCGTGGCCGGAGTCAACAGACGCAGGTTCCAGTCGTTGGTTGCTTTCCTCGCCAGCTTGGCGGGCCCGCGGGTCGCGCTGGCCCCCCGTTCGAGCTGCTGCTCTTCCTTGACTCGGAGATCGCCTGCTTCAAGGGCAGCGGCAAGCGCATCGACTGCGGCTTGCGCTCGCACGGCGCGGGCAACCTGGTCGAGCAGGAGACGCCTCTGGGCGCGCCCCGACGGCGCGCGCTGGGTTGCGACTGCGGGCGGCGGGGGGGCGTGCGGGGACGGGCGCGTCGGCGTCCTGCCGCCCCGCCAGCGGCCCCAGGCGCCGCCGAGGCCCAGTCGGCAGCCCGACCCAGAGTCGAAGGGCAGCATGCGGCGCGCTGGCACTCTGGCTCGGCGCCGCGATGCGCCGCCACCTGCAGGCCGACTTCGCGGCGATGCAGTCTGAGTCGGACGAAGCGCCGCTGGCCGCCTGCGCGAAGGCCGAGGCCCGCGAGGCGGCGGTGCTGGACGACTGCGGCCCTGGAGTGGAGTTCCTTGGCGTGGGCGCGCTGGGCGGCGCCGCTGGCGCCGAGCACCCGCGCCCCGCCGTTGTCGGGCAGGGGGCCGCTGGCACCGGCAGCTGGCTTGGCCCGGGGGAGGGAGCGCAGGGCGCCGCCCCACATGGCCCATGTCGCCGGACAGACAGTCGGCAGCAGGCTGTGAAAAAATGCCGCCGCGACCGACGTGAGATGACGGCGCCCCCCCCCAGCTTGGGGGTTGGCGCTCAGGCCAGGAACAACTGCCGCGACGTGCGCCTCGGAAGGCCCAGTGCGGGCGCTGGGCTGGGCGCGCGTGCTGAGGGCGACGCCCGTGCTGCTGCGGCCTGGGAGGATCGCGGGCCTGGCGACGACTTCTTCGCCGCGGGCGAGGGCGCGCTGGGCCTCGCGCAGGCCCCCAGTCAGCGTCGCCCTGCTCAGGCGGGGCCGCGGGCCGCTGGCGCCGGCGCGGGCGCGGGCTGCGGGCGCGGCCAGGAGGGGTCGCGAGCTGCTGCCCCCCAATGCGCGAGTCGCGGGTCCGACAGGCGGCCGCAACCGGCAATCAATTGCTGCGTCGGACGGCAGGAGTCAGCGCCAACATCCAGCGGGTTCGATACTGCCGCGCGCGATCTGATTTACTCGGCGGCGAAGAGGCCGCCCAAAGAGGCAGCTTGCGGGTGGTCGCCGGGATATTTCACGCCGTCTGGAGTCGCGCCGCGGGGCGCGACATCCGCTGGCCCCCCGTTCGAGCCATCGCTCGGTCGCGCGCATTTGCGACGTCGGGCGGCTGAGCACTGGGCGGCTGTGCCGGCAGTGCTGGGGCAGATCGCACGCGGGGCCAGACGTTCCGCTCGCGTGGGATTCCATGGTCAATGGCGCCCTGGGGACCCCCACCGAGGAGCTGGACGCCATGGCGACTGTGACGGAGCGCTTCACCACCGCGGCGCAAGCGCACCGTGGGCCAGCACCGCCGAGAGGTTGCGTCGCGGGCACGCAAGATGTGGAAGGAGAAGCCTGGCGCCCTCCACAGGTGGGCGCGTGATCCCGCGCCCTCGGTGCAGAAGCTGGCGGTGGGCGGCGCGCCCGTGACGGTGCCGAGCCAGGCGATGAGTCAGAAGGCCGCTCGCTGGGGCGGCCTGCGGCGCGCCCCTCGGGCTCTTGGCCGGGCCCCACGGCGGCCCTCCAAGGGGCTAAGTGTCGGGCCAGGGGCCCCCCGTTGGAGCCGCTCGAGCGCAGCAGCATCGACCTGGCCGTTCACGGCCCCAGGTAGGCAGGGGCGTCGACGGCTTCGGCCCGGACGACCTGGAGAGGCTACCGCCCGAAAGCCGCGAGGAGCCGCGGCCCCTGCTGGCGCGCTGCGTGGAGAGGTGCCGCTGGCCACGGCAGCTGCTGGGAGTCGCCGGCGGCGCGCTTCCCAAGAAGGCGGGGGGCGAGCGCATCATCGGCCTCCTGCCGATGGCGCCGAAGATCTGGCCCCGCGCGCGCCCATCGGTCACGTCGGCGTGGACTGACGAGCTTGGCGCCTGCTGGGGCGCTGCGGACCGTGGCGCGCTGCGAGCGGCGCCGGCGCGCGGCCCCTTCGACGAGACGGGCGTCGAACTGGAATTGGCGGCCGATGCCCGCCCGCTGGGTGCGGGGGCCTTCTACGACGCGGTGCGCCTGGTCAAGCTGATGGCCATCGCGGAGCGGCTGATGCACCTTTGGTGGCCCTGGAGGCCCAGCTCTTCTTGTCTCTGCGCGACCTGGAGGACAGGCGCCGCGGGCGCTCCACGCAGGTGGAGGCGACCCGCCTCGTCGTGGCGGGGTCGGCGCATGGGGCGTCATCCGGCAAGCTGCACCTTCGCCCGCTCCTGCAGCAAATGCATGCGATGCGCCCGCGCGCTGGCCTCTGGAGGTTCATCGATGACGTTGCGATCCGCTGCGAGGGGTCGACCAATGCCGTGGAGGAGGAGCTTCCCCGCATGGCCATGCTGCTCACGGATGGCATGGACGCGCATGAGCTCATCTGCTCGTCCAAGGCGGTGCTTGCGGCGTCCAACATCGAGCTGGCAGCCAATCTCTCGGACACTCTGACTCTTGTGGCCATGGGCATCCGGCACTCTCAGCGGCGGACAAGGCGGTAGAGCTCGGCATCGACATCGCATCGGGCCGTCGAGGGGCGCGCACCAAGGCGTCGGCTCGCATCGCTGCTGGAGCCCGACGTTGGAGGCGCATCATGAAGCTGCGACGGGCCACTGGCAGACCCACGGAGTGTCGAGGTCAGCGGGCGACGGGTGCGTTGCCGCAGTCGGTCTACGGCCGCCAGGTCAACGGCGCACCACTTGTTCTGGAACGGCAGCTACGACGACGGGCCGGTCATGCTGTGGGCGGCGTTGCCCGCGGACGGTGCTTGACGTCCGTGTTGGCGGCCGCGGTCGGGCTGCAGCTGGTGGCGTCGCTGCGCGGCCGCATCAGGCGGGCCTGGCCCGGGGTCCTCGGTGCCCCGCGGCGCGCTGTCAAGTGGCGCTGGAGGCGGGCCCGCGGTCCCATGGGCGCGTCGCAGGTGACGTTGCAGCGCGGCCCGCGCGCGGCCTCGGTCTGGCCGCGCCCGACTGAGGAGGGCGTGGGCGAGTGGAGGTAGGCGGGCGCCGTTGACGACAGCTTCCACGCGTGCGCCGACTTCGGCTGGGTGCTCCAGGACGCCGAGGAGGACCTGGACCTCATGCGCCAGCTGTGGCAGTCTGCGGCGTCGCACCTGCATGGGTGGCGACCTCGTCGGCGGCGCTGATTTTCTGCGCATCAGCCGCGAGCTAAAGAAGCCGAAGCGCGAGGCTTGGCACGCGGAGTGGGGCCTCGCCCTCGCCGTTGTCTCTGGCGGCCAGTGGACGAGATCCCGTCGCGCTTCTGCTGGCTACGTGCTGGGACAGGAGGACCGCGTGCGATGCGGCTGCGAGGGCGAGGCCCTGGCGCGCAGGATCTGGCAGTGTCCTGCGAACGTGGGCGAGGAGATAAAATCCACGGCTGCCCTGGTGCCTCGGGCGCTCGCTGGACACGAGGCATCACCTGCCACGTGGTTGCGCGGGGCGCCCGCCTCATGCTCGGCTACTCCCGTCTTCTGCGACCAGAGGGCGGAGCAGGCCGCGGCGCCCCTCGGCGCGGACAGCGCCCTGGAGTCGGCGAGGCGGCGCGACGGCTTCGCGGCGGTCTACGGCGACGGCTCCGGCGGGGAGTACTCCGACGACCCGAGGCGCAGGCGCTGCGCTACCAGCATCGCGGCCATGGGCCGGGACGTGGACAGGCCGTGGACCGACCTGCTTTGGTTTCGCGTTGTACCTGTCCCTGGCAGACGGCAGACCGCGCCGCGCGTGGATATCCCCGGTTTCGCGTTGGCGTTGGAGCCCGTCGGAGAATTTAAGGAGCGTGACTGACCACGAGCCCCTTTGGCGGTGCTGGGAACGGAAGATGTCGCCCGCGCTGCCAAGCGGTGCCAACGAGGACCTCTAGCAGCGCGCGCGCCAGGCACGACGGCGCAGGCCTCCTGGCGCGATCGAGGTGGTCTGGGCCCCCGCGCGCACGGACGAGGAGGAGCACCTGCGGCTGCTGAGGCCGGAGACGGACCTCGAGCGGGCACTGGGCAATGCCGCTGCAGATGCGCTTGCGAGCGCGACGGCGGCGGCCCGCTGGCGCCTGGGGCTCTTGGGAACTGAGCCGCGCACCGACGCGGCCGACGCTGAAGCTCGCATGGTCCGCAGACGGGCCTGTAGGGCCTTGGTGCTCGCGGCTGAGGCTGACCAGCTGCGTGGAATCCGATGCCTGGGGCCACGTCGGCCCCCGCGCCTTGCTGCCGCCAGTGTGCGCGCCACCTCGTCGCAGCGTCGTCGCACGAGCTGCATCAGTGTGGATCGGAGCGTCGGGTCGTGCTAGCTGCCTGTGCGTGATCGGCCAGAGCCAGCT